GTCGGCGCGGGGCTGGGTGCCCGCCCTTGCAAACCGGCACAGCTTTGGCCACCGGGGCTAAAGGGCGAGGCGGCGGTGCTCCCGCAGCCCCGGCCGGGGGGGGTGGCCCCGGGGGGCGAGCTGCCGCCAGAGAAGTTGAGGGGGGGGTTTAAACCTTTTTTTCCCCTCCTCTAAGTCACTGGAAAGCTCATTTCCTGGAAGGTGGATGTTAAATTATTAACGCGTGCCGAAAGAATACAGCTGTGTGGCGTTGTAGCGTGTAGTCTCATCTTGTCATCTGCAGAGTGTGCTTCGTTAATGGTCTTAAGCGATCAACCCCGATATCTGGCAAAGTTGCTCATTTGTGGAGTAAATGTTACTTGTAACTTCAGATTTGTAACGCCTGTCTCCTTACAGTAAGGTTTTAATGAGAGTTGTGACTGTAAAACGCATGCTGTCGCTCATATCCGTGTTTATAAGGTCTTTTAAATTTGACTTTGAGTGGACTTAAATACGCTCACACGTGCATGTTGAACGTCCCAATGATATGCCCATTAACACTTAGTGCAAAGCCAACAAAATATTTTTGTCTTGTAGCATCCAGCCCCACCTCAGATCTTCTGTTCCAGCTGATTTCCTAACATCTACTATGCTGGCAACATCACACCAGAAACAAAAGTTCCTAGTTATGTGGGGTCAGGTAAGCAGATTTTTTTACAATATTGTGTAGTTATGCAAAGTTACTAAAACTGGAGTTTATATTTGATGGTATATAAGACAACTCTGCAAAACCACACAATATTGATAAAATCAAAACCAAGGAACCCCACTTACCTGACCCCTGTCCCCTCCCTCTCTCCTCTGTGATAAATCAATGCGAGTGTACTTTGCTAACAGAAGGAATTGATCTCTGGTTGTCTGAAGCTTGGGCAGACTTGTAATGGCTTTTTGTTGCCCTTGTGGACCACTGGGGAGGGGGGGGGGAGAAAGCCCCTTCTCACAAAGCTTTTATTTGCACGAATAGTCCCGTTGAAGCCAAGGTTATTTGTGCAAGTAAAAGTTGTGCAATATAGCTGAGAGCAGGCAGCGCTTACTCGTCCTGGAAATCAGAAACTTGAATGTGCTTGACAACACCAGCTGTAGAATTCAAATTCAATTTTGTGATGTATAGGAAAGAAGGTGCTAAATAGAAACAATAATTGATTCTGGCATTGCGCTCCAAAATGTGTTCGCATATGTGTCAGAGCAGTTTTGTGTAGTACTCGTTGGTTCATCTAAATCTAAGTTGGGTGAATGCATACTGTAAAATATTTGTAGGCAGTTCTGTTCTCCAGGTTCCAAACCTGCTGAAAGGAGAAGAGAACACTGAGGGAGACAGGTGGATCACCCTGCTCACAGTGCAAATCGGTGTTGTTGTGGCTTTTAACAACTCCTTGCAAAGAGATTAAGATGTTGCAGGCCATAAAAAAAGTACGGCCTTGGAAATGAAGATTTAACACGTGTAAGCATGTGTTCTGGAGAACTGCTGTAGTTGAGGGGAATAAGAGAGTACAGTCTGCTACAATCTGCAAATGTGTGTAGAAGCTTGGGAAGGGATTCCAGTGTGAGGTTGCTCTAGCGGTTTAGAGAAGGAAAAAAATCCCCAGGTAATCTCGCAGAAATTATTCCTGTAGATGTGCAGATGGGGAAAAATCGACAGTCGCTTACCTACTCAGAACAGTACACGGGTTTGTACGCCTCCACAGACAAATGAACTTTTAGGTATGGCCCGTGGTATGTGGCAGCTGAAGTTTGGCAGTGTTCGCTTACAAGATCGGTCAAAAATGCAACACTAACCTTCTTTCATAACACTGTTGTTATCGTGATAGCAGAGTTAACTGTGTGATTTACTAGTGATGTTTCTGTTTCAGAGCACAAAGTAATCATTGTTGGTCTGGATAATGCAGGAAAAACGACCATTCTTTATCAATTGTAAGTATGAACTGCGGATGACGTTTCATGTACTTCAAGGTGTGCATTGTATATGTTACTCTGACTTCTTGTTGCTGCTTCCCCTGTTAGTTTTTACTTTGAGAGCTTTACGCTGAAGGTTACTGAACAGTATAGGTGGCAGTGGGTCAAAGCGGGTGTTTAGAGTTTGGAAAGGTCTGAATTTTCCCTGGTATATGAATAAGGTTTTGTTTAGAGCTTTTATTTATCAGATTACATTGCTATTACCACTTAATCACAACTGCCTTTGGCGTCACTGTGTAGGCTGTTTGCCAACTCCATAAAATATGATTATATTGAGGGTTAGCCACAGGACAATGCTGCTAAACTGATCCATGCCGCAGTATGTAAATACTAAACAAATTGTTCTGTGAGTAGCAAAGCAGTGAAGCCTGACCTCTCCCTGCCGTGATTTGTGTCCTGCGTACCAAGATGTACTTTCATGTCGTTTGTGGTACGGGATGGAAGAGGAAGGCTGAGCGCTGGCTGAACCCAGGACAGCGCAGCTCTGCAGCTGGTGGCAGCCTGGGCTGCCTGGCCAGGGCTTTATTTGAGCCACCGGCGTTGGTAGCCGTCGTGCAGCTTCTGCCCTTAATAGTGGCATTGCCTTGTGTTTGTCTTGCGTTAGCCTTGCTACTGGTTTACATGAAACTTGTATGAGCTTCATATCTCTGGTCCTCAACTGCATTTTGATAAAAGGGTAGAAATTTGTCCACAGACTCAGAAGCTTCTAGGTGGGACGGGCGACGCAAGGTCTGTTTATAATAGAAACAGATTTGCGATTTCTCACGTGAAGCAGTCTGGTATTAGGAAGTGTTCCTGAGTCAGTATCAGAAATAATTCCTGTTAAGTGATATGGCCCTACTGGTCCAATCCTACACTTAAAGTACGCTTTCTTAAAATGCTTGGGTTTTGTCAAATTATGATCTGCTTTTGCCTTTCTGAAACGTGAAACTCGTGCAGCATTTCCAGCCACTTATGCCCTAGCACACTCTGCAGAGAAAGTGAAGAGATGAGGGTGGTTGTCGTTACTTAAATCGGGAGTGAGAGATTTTAAAAGCGTAAATAGAATGAAGAATATTTTTAAGACTAGTAACTACTGCAGCTGAGGGCTGTCCTTGGTGCATTTTAATGCTGCCTGTGTCTTTCAACTTCCTCCACAAATGTCTCATGAGTCTTCGTCTCATCTTCTTACTTCTGCAGTCTCAGTGTTTTCTTTTCCCTTTTGTACAGTGGATCTCTATATGCCGCCTTGTCCTTTATACCCATTTTAGCTCCACAGGACTTCCCCTTCTCTCTTCTTGTATTCCCCTTCCCCTGTTTGCTGCTTTGACAGAGCTCTGTATTCGTACTGTCCTCTGTTCCTCCTGCTTGACTCCTCCTTAAACCCCACCTCCATCTTTGCATATCCTATTTTTTTCTCTTACCTTTTCTTCGTGGCAGATGAGTGAGAGATGGGCAGAGATAAGTAGCAGGACAACTAGTGTTGGTTAGTGCACTGGCTGTTACTTTGATGTCGTGGAAGGTCACAGCAGAGGTTGGAGTGGTGATTCTTCTAACAGATTGCGGCAGCTCCACAGACACTTCATTTCTTCCCATTCTTGTATTCAGATCTCCTCCCTCCCCTCAGGTAGCAGTAGGATTTTGTGATCAGGTGTCTAGAAATGCCATTAAGCTTCATGCTCACCTTGTTTCAGTGGGGAGGAGGGAAAAATCCACCTATCGTATTGCAAACTGAGAGACGCCAACAGCTTGAAGGTGAAAGGCTGCAGGTTCAGCCAAGGCAAGGGGATTCACGATACGTCTCTTACAAGCATTAAAAGAACGCTGCTAAAACCTGTTTTTTAAATATGATCAGCCACAGGCATCTTCTTATGTCATTGTTATCCTTAATTTGATTTTATGGTTCTTCCTGCTAATCCTTCTCTTCCCCTTATATAGTCGCCTTCAAATGTGTGTGGTGAGAAGGTTTCTTGTCATATGCTGCTAAGACACTGGGTAACTGGGATTCCTTTTCAGAACACCAGACCATCCCTTTATCTCCTCAGTTCTCTGTTACAAGTCTCAAATTGCTGTCACTATAACTAACAGCTCTGCTAAAGCTTCAAAAAAAGGTTCATATAAAATGAAAAAATATATCAAGATTATCGGAAGAAAAAATAATTAAGTTCTCTGAAAACAATTGACGTTTTCCTTGAAGCTACTTTTAATTTTTTTGCATGTCCCATAGAGTAGAGTTTAAATAATTTGAACTCTAGGGGTATCCAGAGTGCACATTTGGTTATCACTATTGGTGTGAAACTGGTGGTCTTAATGACAAAGTTGCACTTGGCATCTCTAAAACGATATATTTGAAATATTTAATGTCTCCATTTGTCTCCAAAAAGTAGTGTTATTGGACTGTGCTGAAGGGAGAAGAGAAGGAAATTTGGACATAAAGTAACTGAATTGTGAAGAAAGTACGCTCTTCGTGGCCTGTACTGAAATGAGAGCGAGATGTAGTATGTTTGGCAGAGCTGGATGATGAGTTGTTGTTTTTCTGCAACCTTGGAAATCTTGTGGCTTAACCACATTCTTGAAGAAAAACAACTGCTGTCTCTCATGCATGCCAAAATCAGCCTGGAAAAAGAAAAGCTGACTGCTTAAAACAGCTTTTGAAGCAAATATTCTCTCAGCTTTATGATTTAATTAATTATAATATAGTTTTGTTCATGAATGCTCTCTCAGCTTTATAACTCAATTATATAGGTCACTGAGTCCTTTTTTATTGCTATTTTTATTTATTTATTTTTTTTATTCACCCTCCACCGTCAAACCTTGTCTCTCTTTGCTGCATAAGAAGCGTTTGCAAAAATTCCCCCACTAAGCTTTCTACCTCGCAATTACCATCGAGTTTAGTTTTTATAGAAGCAGGTCGGTTTGGAGGCCTAAGATGCTCGATAATGCAGGTAACTTGCCAGTTCCTGCAGTTTCTCACCGAGTCGCGCTCTTCCCTCTGCAGCTCCATGAATGAAGTGGTGCACACCTCACCCACCATAGGGAGTAACGTGGAAGAGATCGTGGTTAACAACACACGCTTTCTGATGTGGGATATCGGAGGGCAGGAGTCGCTTCGGTCTTCGTGGAACACCTACTATACAAACACTGAGGTGAGAACGAACGCCTTGCTGGAAGACTTAGTGTAACTATTGCTGGTGAAGGGAATGCAGCGGACCTCAGATCTGTACCAGAAGGGAATGCAGCGGACCTCAGATCTGTACCAGACACGCTTCCAGAGGGCTGCATTAACTGTGCTTTGAATGTTACCGTAGCTACTTCAGGGTACTCCTGTTTTGGTTTTTGAAGTCTCCCTCTTAGCAAGCTGTTGTACGACGCGCTTTTATATTTCTTATGTAAGATGCATAATATGGAGTTGCAATTATAAACCAACTTGTTTGTAAGGATTCTGTTTCTGGGGATCTGCGGCCTTAGGGCAGGTGCTCAGTTTGTCTTGGTATTGCAGATCCCATGTTTACAGGTCCCCTCTTGCGGACCATGACTGCTCTGTCTCTGTAGCAGGTACTCAGAAACCTGTGTAACCCCTCAGGAGTAAGACTGAAAGCCCAAAAGTTTTCCTCCAAGGCTGTGGGAGCTCTGTCTTGCGAGCTCCCATGATCAATTTACTTAAGGACCCTCAAGAATTTTAAGAACTCGTTAGCGATGAAGTTGCAGCACATATACTGAACTTGCTTAAAATAACGATTTAAGTCAAGGTTTCCTCTGTGTTATCAATTGTGGCTTTTAAAAAAAGTTATTTTTTTATAATAATTAACTTTGTTCTCCTGTGCTTTCCTGTAAGATCTGTGACGTGTATCTGCATGTACGCTCTTGAAGTATGGAGTTTATGGGTTTTTTTAGATCCCTTGCAAATATCTATTTGCATGTTAGTATTTGAAGTAGAGGGAGAAAGCTGATACAGTTTACCTTTTTAAGGCTGCAACGAATTATCTGAGGGATCTGTGTGCTATCTCAGTTATGCTAAGCAAAGAACAAAAACAGATCTGGGATTACAGAGAAACACCTGCTTTCAATATAAATTTTTCACTTGGAAATGGAAAACGGAAAGTCAAGAGATGTGTCACAGCTACTTTTGTATACAAACCACGGCATAAGTTGTAAATGATACCAATGCTGCGGGTAATCGCACTCTGGCTGGGAGAAGTCTATCTGGAGTATGATGCTAATTGATAATCCATCTGACTGTCTGGATAATCTGATGGGCACAGTAATCTGTTCTGCTGACAAGTGTGTGACCAGAAGGATAGAGTTTGTTCTCTGACTAATAACTTTTCACTTTTTAAAGTTTGTGATAGTTGTTGTGGACAGCACAGACAGAGAGAGAATTTCTGTGACTAAAGAAGAACTGTATAAAATGTTAGCACATGAGGTGAGTAAACCCTATCTTCTCTTTGTTTTAATATTTATTGTGGGTAAGATCTGGATGATACATGTTAAGGGAAGCAGATTCGCATGCTCTTTGTGAAAGCTCTCACTTACGCCGACTAGCTGGAGACAGACCAGAATGGAGAGAGGCCTCTCCAGTGAAGTCCAAGGCAAACGTTTAACAGTCACGTTCTCCCAGCTGCAGGTAGGACTGTATCAGAGCTGTCTCGTTCCTGCTAGAGGCTCTGTCTTTTCTGAAGCTCCTAATAAAGCTGTAAATTAATACCAAATTACTGAAGAGAACTCCCGCAAAAGTAGCTTTTCAGCTTGAGTGCTTCAGTGAAACAGAAGTTAGGACCTATAAATGACTTTTGTGGTTTTTATACTTCAATCCACGTTAATGCTGAATGAGATTGTTTTTAAAAACATTGTTTCCTCCAACAACTTAGTTACTCTTTTTGATTGCTTCATGGTTCCTTGACGTTTTCTGTTTTTGCAGTGAGACAGATACAACCTTAATAATATATCTTACAGCAACGAGCTATAAAACTGAAGAAATGGGCTGCCTACGGCTATAGTAGCCGTCATTCTATTTGTACTTGGAATTACAGAATGAGAGTATAATTTGCTAACTTGTAAAGACCCTCTTTAAAATTGAGCCCTGTGTCAGGTCTAAAGCTGAGCTATCTGGGTCTGATTCAGAAATACTGGACTGCCGTATAAGCCAAGGAGCACCTATTGCATGACCTGAATGTCCCAAAGACTTTAATCTATCCATGCGGTGCGGGACTGGAGCCCTGATTTTTACTAAAAATGTGTCTGCGTAAGCTTGACTACTGCTGGGACTCATAAGACAAGTTTAATGCAAACTGGATCAGTTTGTATGAGATGACACTGAGGACACGGAGCTTCCAAATTTAAGTGTCAGAATACAAAGATGTGCATAAAATCGATGGCATTATATCCCAAAATATTACATCTATATTTAAACTATAGCCACTGTTTAGTACTCTTCAGCCTGTTGCAGTCGCTAAACAAAATTGCATCTTCTGTTTTGTAATCTATAAAGGAAGATGCAGAAGTTGTTAACGAACTGAATTTGAAATGAGGAAGGTCTGGAACTCCAAGCAGCATGAATGCCCTTGCTTCATGTCGGGAGACTATTTCTGTGCTCCAAAAGCACCCATCTAACAGTAAATGTGCCCATTGTTTTCCAACAGGATGTTTTCAGTATATTCTGCTAACTCTCCAGATGCTATGACGTTTGAAGAGAACAACAATACATATACGCTGAAATGAAAGTCAAATATTTATTTACAATAGCTTTTCCTTGCAGTCCTTGAAAATCTTTTATTTCTGCTAACCAGTTCAATTGAATTTCTGTTAAGGCAGAATTGAGTTGTCCAGGTCAGTTCCAACTGTTTTCTGGACCGATAGGTCGTTTGGGAATTAATTTTACTGCTTGTAAAAATTAGTCTGCCTGATAGGCATTTAAGTGAATGAGTTGGCTTGGCTTCCTGGGAAGACCTTTTTACTTTCGGAGGGACAGATTTTCAATAATACGTGCCTGTACTAGTGTAATTCCAAGCAGCTTGAGATAAAATAAGCTTGCCCCTAGAGTCGCTGTTCTCTAAATTGTTAGTACTGATATTTTAAATATTGCGTGGCCCTGATAAAGAAGTTTATTGCAATGTGCTTGTTCACGTAGATGTCCATCCTTTGATTCTAAAGCAGTGTAAATGATGATTTTCTACAAATTCTGTGTATCCTCAAAATAAAATATTACTGCAGCTTGCTTTACACTGTCGGTGGCAGTCTTAGTGCTTCTTAATGGGTGGGATTTCCCTCGCAGAGGGCTGCTGTGCAGGCAGAACGTACTTCTGGCTCCGGTGAGCCACGGTGCCGGTCTGGGTGCCAGCACACACGCTGCTGGCTCTTACTGCAGTCAGGCTTGGCAAGGTTTTAGCAGTGCTTAAAAAGTTCTGGTGGGGTAACCCACTGTTGCCCCATGTAAGAACTGCTGCACAGTCTACTCATTTGGTACTAAAGTCAATCTTAGCAGCATGGTAATACGTAAAAGCGTGGTGTGTATATTCAAAAGCCAGGCTCAGGAGAATGCAGTGGTTGGTTGGGATACACAGGTAGGAATGACCTGCAAGGTCAGGGTTAAACGGGAGGCCTTGACTGTTAGAGGTGTGTGACGTTATTGCAGCTGCACACACACACAGAGATACAGGGTGCCTCTGATACTCACGGAGCACAACAAGAGATTGTACGTGGTTTTACAGATCATCCTAGGCAAAAATTGGACGTTTGATCTGCCGGATCAAAGGATTTTCTGAAGTTGCATGTCAATCAGCCTGCAGCGTTCTATAGTTCAGGTTTTTTTTTTCGCTAGGGCTTAAGGTTCTCTACTTCGGTATCACATCTTTTGCCTCTGAGGGCTGATTTGTAATCATCATCTTTTTTTCTTCTTTCTCCCTAGGACTTAAAAAAAGCAGGTTTGCTGATCTTTGCTAATAAGCAAGATGTTAAAGAGTGTATGACAGTAGCTGAAATATCTCAGTTTCTGAAACTGACTTCAATTAAGGATCACCAATGGCACATTCAGGCGTGCTGTGCTCTAACTGGAGAGGGGTAAGAGTCATTCTTGTCTGTAGGAGGGGAATCTTGAATTATTTTGGTATTTTTATTGTGGTGTTTGGTTTTAACACACATTCCTTCCCTGTCAATAATAATCTTACACTTCACGATTTTGGGGCTCAGAACATACTAACTTAGGATCAGTGTGATCTGAAAACCAACTTTCACATCAAATCTGCAGTCTCACCTCACAGTGATAAAACTTTATGTGATTTGGGCCTAATGAGGGCAGGGATGGGAACGACCTAAAATCTCTTCTGGTTTATTAAGAATAATCGTAATTAGAGAAAACCTCAGAGTGTGTCTTGAAGTGCTGGGACCTGAAGTCTCTCACCTGTAGATTGCATAATAAGATCTGGGAAATACTGGGCTCAGAGTGAATTGTTTCTGGAAATGATTCCTTCAGTCAGAATTACAGAGTTCTTAGGAAGAATTTAAATTGGTGCCAGGGAATTATTTTTGAAGTTATCCTGAGAAGTGCACGTATTCCTTAAAAAATTATCTCTTCTGTTTACAGACTGTGCCAAGGACTCGAATGGATGATGTCAAGACTTAAGATCAGATGATTTTTAATGACCTCTTTGCACAGACATTGCTTGAAAAGAGCTGTACCCATGATTACCTTCACAGTGGCAGAATTAATGGGTTAGACGTATTTATACTGAACTGATTTCAACTTCATTTTCTACATAGATGCACACACACGTTCGTGTATATAAATTAAGACCATTCAGCAAAAAGAAAGATGCAGTTGATGGCTCCACTTTGGTTTCCTGTTTGTTTTCCTCTGAGGATGTGTTTAAAAGCTGTGATCAACCTTCTTTTCAAGATACAGCCACTCAGAACAGTCCAATGTTGAGCGTGGTGAAGACGAAGTGAGAGGAAGGAGCCTTTAATTTTGAGTTTTATTATTCCATTGTAGTCCTCTCTAGCTGAAGATGTTGGCTTCATTGTTCCAGTAAACAAATCAATGGCATAGATATCAACTTTCCAGTATTTTTAAGGTTACCAATGTTACAAATGCAAAAATATTTTCCTGTATGTGTACTGTACATATTTGTGCATATTTATACCTCAATTTTAGGTTAATTGCAATCTGTTCAGACCAGTGTGTAAAGCGGAATCAGGATGTTGACAGTAGTACTAATATTTGACACCGCCAACATGTCACAACTTCTTTTCCTTTGTTATCTGTATGGCTGTAACGTCCATCAGACAGTTGGCTCACCACAACTTCATAAAGCAAACTCTCTCGTAAGACCATTGCTCGTTTCCCACATGATTTTTCAGTTAGGGAGGATGCCATAATGGATGGGGGCGTATGGGTTGAGCTTCAAATTACAGTGTCGGCAAACAGTAAAAATTTGCCAAAGAGCTTAAAATGAAATGGATTTTCTTTCTTTATTGTAGTCATCGTTGGATTAGGTGATTCCAGAAGTGCATGTCATGCTGTCCTATGGTACTGCTTTTCTTTTTTCGCAGTACTGTTCATTTATGATTCAAGTCTAGTAGAAGTACCTTTAGCTGCCATAAAGGGAAAAATGTCACCTTTTTTTTTTTTTCTTAACCAAAGAAGAGGCACAAAAGTATGTTTAAAAGTCCCACTGGAATCTTACAAAACAAGTCATACTCTGTATTAAGTGTTTTTCAGAGGAAGGCACACTTCTCTTTGATAGCGTAAAATGTATATATGTATCTATATGCAGTGGATGGAACTGGGATGGGGAAGGGGAACAAACCAGATTACACTACTTGAAAAGCTGTAAGTGACCCCTTGATCATCTTCCCACAGAAGTTCCAGGGCAGCAGTACTTGAAAATATAACTCCCTTGCATGGTCCCCAGGTGAGTTATAAAGAAGCATCAGAACACTATGTGATTATCTTTTCTCACTATAGTACCTAACGGGACGGATGTCCCATACGGCAGTTGTTCAGTTGTTCCCTTTCAAAGGACACAGGCTTTTCGGTGGGATGACAGCTGGATGGCTTGAAATGTTGTCAGTATTGTGAAAGCGTACGTAGCCTTCATCGTAGGCTTTTATGTTGGAGACGTATGTTTGGGGAGTATAGCAAAATGAAATAAAACTTTGTTTAAAATGTCCTTCCCTTTCTCAGCTCATACCTCTGATAAGGATGGAAAAGGCATTTTAAAGAAAAAGCTTAGTTTGATCTTTTTAAGGTGCTTATCTTTGGTATGGCATAATCCAGTCAGCGCACCTGCCTTCCCATTTGCCTGCTTCTCTGGGGATCATGTTGTGAATTTGTGGGGAAAAGAAGGGAGGCAATTTCAAAAGTCTGTATTTAACAAAGGCAGGTAAAGAATTTAACTTTTTAATATATTTTTGGTATCTCTTTATGATGCTCACCGGCTAAGGAATCTGCTGTCTTTGTTAAACATTTTAATGTGTACATGCATATATTTATAGTGCATGCACATAGATATTGGTATTTAACTGGTGTATTGCAAAATGTATAAATGTTTGGAGAAATAACAATTTAATGCAAAGACTTTCTCAGTTTATCTGATAGCATCTTCAAGAAACGAGCTCTGTGCACACTTGCATATGAAATGGAATTGTACGTTTTCTAGTCTTAAAAAAGAAAAAGCAGACTTGCTTATAAACCGAAGTGTTTGGTTTTCGAGTCTTATGTCTTCCCTTTCATCCCTTTAAAATAATTTGCTTTGCTGTTGTTAAACACTGCATACTTTTGCCTGAATCTGCACAGGTTGTGTGTGTTGGTTTTTTGTTTGTTTTTAAGAAAATTAGTTGTTAATGAAAGAAAAATCATGGGAGAGTATTTTAATACCTGCTTCTTATTGAAATTTGCCGTTTACTCCTTCGCTGAAATTTGTAGGACTTAGTACGTCCATGTAATGAAAGTGTGGTGTTTTTTTCCAGGTATGGCTTGTGTTGCAACCAGACACCGTATGTTTACACATAAGTAAACTTAGGTTTACTCTTTCTCCCTCTCGGTATCCTGGACACTTCCACTCTCTGTGGCCTCTAAGATGCTGCGTGGTTCGCTTCATCTTTGTTTCACAAGTGGCAACAGACCCTGGTAGGGAGTTGGGAATAACAGCACACATGAAGACTGCCTGTTAAAACGATGTCTTCTGTGCCCTAAAGAGTTCGTAATCCAAAAAGTAAATCCTCGTCTGTGCGTTGGGCGGTGAGCAATCCAGCCTTAACCCGACTACAAAAGGTGTGTGTCATGTCACGTATAACGATCGGTCGTCTTTTCGATCTGTCTTGTGATCCCATAGTATTTTAGAGGGCAGATTTGCTCTTCAGTAGCAAGATTTCAGTGGTGGCCAACGCTTACTGACGCGTCGCGTGCCTCTAGCGTTCTTGACTGGGGCTTAGGAATCAAAGGAAGACGCATCTCCGTTTTAAGTTCTGGGTTTGCGGTCTCTGAGGATGGCGGGTTTTGTCTGTAGTAGCTGGGAAACTCTCTGTCCCCCCATTGTAAACAGAGGTGACGATTCCAAATTCTCTCCTTGCGTGGTTGGTGTGATCGTGCTTTAAGGGCGGCAAAGCGTAGCGGAAGCGGAATAGTGTCATCCAGACGTTGCAGTGGAAGTTTTTGTAGGAAAGTGTGTCTGCCTGAGGGTTCTCCATGAGAACAAGCGTGTTTGCTCAGATACTAATGAGGTGAACATGAGAAGAATATGCAAGTATACACCCTCACGGTAGCGGTGTGGCTGTGACGGTCCTTTCCTGCACACCTTGCCTTTGGTGTAATGTTAGAAATGTTTTTAGATTTAGTCGCCTAGTAGAGCTGGAGAAGAGCAGACCAACTTTGGAACGCAAAAGCCCTTTTTCTATGTTCGTCTTGTTTACAACTTTTTTGTTTTTTTTTCTTTTCCCTGTAGGACAATTCACATTTTTCTCACAACTCTGCCCATAGAAAAGCAAGTTTAACTTTGCATCGATGCTGCTTTCAACTTCACTTAGTTATTGTTTGGAAGTGATTGTCTTAACATGAGTCATGACCTTGATTTGTATTGCTTTTGTGTTTTCATCCTCTGTGTGTTGTGTTGCCTTGGCTTTCAGCTAAAGCTTAAGATTACTTTGCCTTTGTTCTTCATGAAATTTATTCTTAGGATATTATACAGAAAAGGGGGAGGGGTTTTAAAAACAGTTATTTAAGTTTATACTGCAGAATGCCATTTTACTAGCAAAAAAATAGAGCAGTAACTCATATTTCAATAATCTAATACTTAAAATATTTCTTTTGGTTTAGCAAATAATGAACTTGGTAAATCAGCTCTACGATACGCTGCCTCTGTGATCTGGCAATTACGCGGGTTTTTAATTGTGAGGAAAGGTGGGATATAGAACTTGGAAAATGTGAAGAGGGATCTACCTAGCTTCATTTTTTTTTAATGTTTTTGTTGCAGGGAGGCTTAATAGCAGTTTTCCTCTGCATGGTTTAGTGTGTTCCTAGGCGTACGTGTGCATGTGTGAACGTTAAACGTATTTGATGGGCACCCACTACAGTCTATGCAGCTCAAGTGCCTAAAACTAATTCAGTAATGGCGTTTTTTTTCTTCCTATGCTATAATTTCCATTTTCCTTAAAATAGATATATTTCTGTGAAAGCACCTAAATGTGTGTAAATGAATGTTTTTTCCCCTCCCTACAAACTGGCTTTAACATGAGCTATGACAAAGTTATTTTTTACAGTTCTTTCTGTCCTCTACATGCCAAGCACTTTTCCAGGTATGAGACATCACATAGCTTCCTTGTGAGAGGAAATACTAAATTTGTCCTTGTATCAGATTGGTTAGCTGGGATTCTTTTCAAGGAACTCTGTTTAAATAACTCAATCCAAGAATACTTGGCCTTGTAAGCATCCTCATGTAAGTAGTTCCTTTTTAATTGGCTAGTAAAACATGAACTTTGCTACTGTCAGGTTAATTATGTCTGAAAAACAGTTTTTCAGCCAATTCAAATGAAGGTAATATTAAGCCTTTAAATGGTGCACCGTCGAGCATTACGGGACAGGAATGATTTGATGTCACAAGAACGGCACTAAGAAAGAAAAACGTCTTTGCATATAGTTGTGATACGTATTATAAACACAAATGTGACTTGAATATAATTGTTGCAGTGAATATATTAAATGTACAAAAATGAGAAATTATAAGTGGTTGCCACTGTAACTTTTTTACAACGTGCTTTAGAATCATAAGCAGAAATTATATTCTTGCCTTACTAGGATTTTACTGGTTGATTTTTATATTGTACAGAAACTTTTTTTGAAAATGTTCCTCACATCAGGTGGTAGTCTTTTTTTCATACTCGTGTACCACCCTTAGCCTTTTAAGCCAGGTTCCTTGTGAGCAAGGACACAAGTTGGGTGAGGTTTTTTTAAGCTTTTCCTATTTGTAAATTTAGAAAACTTAGCCGATACGGAATTAAATTAGAAAATGCTGCTTTACCTAGAAGGCTATAAATCGTTCTTTGTAAATCATCAGCTCAGTGTTACTCTTGGCTAAGTAATTCCTGCATCAAACACTGCGGAGGGTAGAAGAGGTGGCTGAGAAAAGACATATTCTCCTGCAGAGAGATTCAAAGAGTAAAAAACGAAAAAAAGAGAGCATCAGATTGGAAAGCCTGAGCACTTCTATGGCTAATAAATTGAAGAATTGGTAGTACATGATAGAGGAATGGTAACCGATCCAGTTTAAACTGTGTCTAGATTATGTTTTCATGAATGTTTTCAACATGTCCTCAACTTTCTTACTAGACTTGTTTTCAAAACCTTTAATCCTGTAGCCCAGTCCTGCACTCGGCCTGTGCGTGCTGCTCTAGATCCAAGTCTGCCCCTCTGGCTCTCCGGGGAGCGGTGAGCAGGTGTCGGAGGGAACCGAGCTCTTCGTCCTTAGGCTCTACCAAATACCGGGTTATAATACTAACCTCTAACACTACACCTGCAATTCCTGGAGTATAAAGTAAACTTCTCAGATTAGCATACTAATGATGTAGTTACGTTATAGTATATTATCTGTCTGTCTTTTACAAATGCACAGTCCGTATCTACACGCATTAATCACATGACCAGGGTCATACTACTTTTGATCACTTGTATTTTGTACTTGTCTTTGTAAAAAGTTTGTCTTCTTTCTGAAAGAAATGCATAAAGTACGTGGCTAACACTGATGCTGCAATAAAAGGTCATTCCAGAACGTACGGAATTATTGCTTCAAATTAATACCAAGACTTGCGAGGGCTGCGTTTCCTGGCTTGAGCTCTTCTGTGTCGGAAACTTAGGCACGTTTGTGACAGTAATTTAGCTAAAACTTTTTACAAAGCTATTTATTATAACGATGTTCGATTATGATTCTATGAAGTAACTTTTCCTGAAATTTTATCAGAACATTCCTTGAACTGTTTCCCCCTTACCTCTTTCTGTCTTTCCTGGCTTTTAAATTCTGATTTTCATTTAGTTGACGGGAACTCATTCGATTCTTGTAATTCTTGTTTGAAGAAGTGAAACAAACACAAATTTGGTCCAGAATTGCTGGGGGGGGAGCTGTCTACAAGCATACATACGCGTTTATGGATAATGTCAGAATTGCTAATTCTTGAAAACCCACCAATATTTATTATTTCAAGATGAAAGCACTTGTCAAAATTTTACTGTTTGCATTAAACCTTTTGTGTGTATGTGTTGCGGTGAAACTTTCCAAGCAAAGATACGGTTTCTGAGCTCGTACATGGGGTTGTCTAGGCGCTATTGGGGTGAAACGCGCTGCTCTGCCGAGCCTGTGATGACGGGGTTTGTACTGGGAGATTGTTTGGTAAGAAGTATGCGTTGGCTGGTTTCAGATAGAATGGAAATTAAAATTAATGGCGAAATGCCCTTCTCCTGTAGAAAATGCTGAATCCCGGCGGTGTACCCCTCCTGCGTATTCGCGTATCGCACGCTGGTATTTGCAGCCTTGGGAGTTGGGGGGGGGGTTACAGGTAACTTCTTAGAAAAGCAAAAGAGATGAAACCAAAGCTGGGTTAAAAAATAAAATTGCCGTGTTACTGTGCTGAAGGTATGTTGCTGGTCAGCTCTGCAACCCCAACAGTCTTGTTCCACGTGTGTTAACTTTGGACTTCTCGCTGTGTTTCTAACTGCGCGACATTTGTATCCGTGTGGCAATCTTGAAGAATAACTTTCCCGTTGAGTAATGCGTAGGCAGGTGATGTTGTTAACGGAGGTTTCGGGGGTAAGTAAATGCATCAGCCCCTCTGCTGCGACGGTGTAATAGATGGCAAAATGCTTTTCCGCGCTCCTTATCCTTCTGCCTCGGATTTTAGCTGTCTGTCTAGCTGAAGTCGTCTTCCTTTGTGACGCCCTTTTCCCGTTTGGGTGGGCTTTGTCTCCAGCTCCTCCCTGAGGCTGGCCGCTGTGTCCGTGTTGTACGCTGCTGCGCTCCTCCTCCGTGCGTTTTCTGCTGGGGGGTGAAGGAACGGTGAGCTGCCTTCAAAGCCGTGCCCGCTCTCGGGCTGCGTCCGGCCCGTTTCTTTTCCTCTTAACTCGGTTGTTCCTTGACTTCGCTGCAACTTTTCTGAAAACTGCTCCTGTTTTTCTTTTGAATCCAACTAAATAGAAGGTGATTAAAAAA